AGCTCACTGTAAACATTTCCCACAACAGAGAGAAAAAATGAGAAACAAAAGTGTCCTCGCTCTGTGTCCTCTTGCCCAGGAGAAGCCTCCTTGCCGTTTTTCTTGCTTCTCTGAGCATTGTGGCACGGGGGGCTTTGCTCTGTTCTGAGGACAACCCCGGGCAGGGGTCGGGCAAGGATCGAATGAGCTAAGGTGTATGTGAAAGCCTATGAGCACAGGGAAGCACCACACAAATGTTCAGTATGATACGACACCCAGTGTGGGGTTCCAGCTCATCGAGGCCTCACCTGAGGCCTAGGGCGGGCACAGAGCCAGATCTCAGAGGCTATCCTGCCCAGCCTCTGCCACATCTTTAATGACAGTGCTCCAGCCTCTGCTTGTATACTTTCAGTGACAGGCAGCTCATTACTGCACGAGGCTGGCCCATCCACCAGCGGCAAATCTGCCCGTTAGAGGTCTTCCTTCTGACCCCAAATGTGCCTCTGGGTAACTTCCCAGTTCCGGAGCCGGGGTTGTGAGTAAGTGGAGGAACAGGGGCTGGACTCCAAGTTCACACGCTCTTAGTGCAGGGCTCCTTTAGAGTGCTCAGCTTTTCTGCAAAACACAGGCTTCCCTCCTCCAGCCTCACTCAGCTTGGGGGCGAGATGGGCAGAGGCAGGCCTATGTTCCCCACTTCCCTGACCCCACTGGTGGGGCTGGCAGGGGCGGACAGCGGGTCAGCCTGTGAAATTTGGGGGACCCTGGAGAAATACCCCCTAAGCATGTCTTGTGCCACCCTCTCGTATGGCCGATCCCTCCCAGACTCAAGAGGCCATCACCTTTCCCAGGAAGCCTCCCTGAGCCTCTCCTCTGGCCTCTGTCCTGGCAGAGTTGTGCGATCTTGTTCTGTGATTCCATAATGTCCTGTCCAGACATGCTGTCACTGCATTACATCGTGATGGCATCCTGATCTCTCTAAGATTTTTATTTTATTTATTTGACAGAGAGAGACAGAGCCCAAGTAGGCAGAGCTGCAGGCAGAGGGAGAGGGAAAAGCAGGCTCCCCGCTGAGCAGGGAGCCCCATGTGGGGCTCGATCCCAGGACCCTGGGATCATGACCTGAGCCAAAGGCAGACACTTAATGACTGAGCCACCCAGGCGCCCTCCAAGGGACTTTTTAAAAGAAGCTGGCCCAGGTCGCACATGGGTGTGGGCGGGATAGTTCCAGAAGGCAAAGACCGGGTGCCCAGAGCTCTGATCTGTTTCTGTGGAGGGGGAAAGTGGGGGACGGGCAGCCTTGGGCGGGGATCAGTCAGGCCTGGGATGGCTGCCCCTCCCATCTCTTCCCAGCCCAGCTTCTGCCTCCGCACACCTGCCCCACTCGCTCCTTCTCCTTGACACCGTTCAGCCAGGTGGATCCTCTCACGCTGCTCTGGCACCTGCCCCAGGAGGGGTTCCTGCAGTTACAAACCAGCCTGGGGAAGCCACAGGGCCTCCCTCTGACGTGACACCACATCAGCTGCCCTCTGCCCCGCCATACCTCTCTTGTGTGGTCACCTTTTCTTGGAGGCCCCAGTGTGGACCCCAGCCCTCCTGACTTGGCATCCATGTCTGGGAGAAGAATGGAGAATGGGACTGAGAGAAGCCCCGGAAGGGGGAGACACTGGGCTCTGGAATGGGGAAGCTGGCGGATTTCATTCCCACCCTGGGTCCGAGAAAAAGGATGGGGGCCCCACACCCAAACGTACTGAGACCCCTGTCACTAGAATTGTCCATGCAGAAGGGCCACGGGGAAGATGCTGGAGTCGGGGCTGGAGGGCCCCCCTCCACCTCCACCCGGGGCCTTCCTCAGAGATTTAAAGGCTTAGCCTAAAAGCATGGTATTGAGGTGGAAAACTTTGGTTCCGCCACTTTGAATTTCTTTGAACCTCAGAATGATTTTTCTGTTCCCAGTTCCTCTGTGTCACATGGAAATAATCCCACCCCACAGGGCCGTTGTAAGCCTCTTCTGCAAGCTTAGCATGGTGCCCTGAACACAGGAGATGTTGGATGGTAGATCCATCCTACTCTAGCCTTCTTTAATTCTTCCTTCAATCAAGCCCACGCGCATGCACTCACTCACCATTTTACTGCGCTCAAGCCTCTGTCAGCCAGGTGTTACCCTCAGAAAGGTAATTGAAGAGTGTTTAATGAGGGGAGTGTTTGCAGAGAAGGGGGTATCGCTGAGGGACTGGTGACATGCCCAGAGAGTGGCCACAGAGGGCAGCCCATCTTGCTTCCAAGCCTGAGCGGTAAAGGGAGGTGGCTTTGCCACAGGAGGCCAGGGAGAGTTTTCCTAGGAGCTATGGTTGAAGGTAGAAGAAACCAATGAGGGCCCCAACTGGGACCCAGTAGGGATGGCAGGGAACAGGTACCCAGCCTTCTCTGTCCTACTCCCAGCCAGTCTCCTTCCACTGCTTCCCAGTGGATGAACCACTGGGAGCCAGAGGGCAGGGGAGCCCGAGTGATCCAGTCCGCAGGGGTCAGCCTCCTGGAGCTCAGAGCACACAGAGAAAGCTGGAGAATGAGTAGGGAGGGGGCCAACAGGATAACCAGCAACACGACCGTGTGGAATTCCCGGTACTGGGTACAGTTTGGGTACAAGAGGTGAATAACACAGTGGCCTCTACCCTGAGTTCCCAAGGACAGGCTGACAATACACAGCTGCTTATAACGCAAGAAATAAATGAACATTATGTATGTTATCAAAGAAGTGTGGACGTTGTCATAGATGTGAAGGTGATCCCCGGGACTTCCATCTCCTGCTGTTCCTGCCTTGGCACAATCCTCTTCCTCTGAGGCTCAGGGAGACCCGTGACTCGCACCTCATTCACAGAACGTGGCAAAGGTAATGGGATGGCATATTGCCTTGGTTAGTGACCCTATAAACTTCCATTGTAGCAGATTGGAGAGAGATTCTCCTTGCTGGCTTGATGAAATAAGCAGCCACATTGAGGAGCCCCTGTAACAAGGAAATTTGGACAGCTTCTAGAAACTGTGGGCAGCCTCTAGGACCCGAGAGTGGCCTCCAGACAGTATCTAGCAAGAAGCCAGGGCCCTCAATCCGATAGCCAGGAAATGAATTCTCCCAACCACCTAAAGGAGGTGGATGTGGATTCTTCCCCAGTCAAGCCTCCAGATGCACACACGGCCCAGATGACACCTTGATCACAGCCCTTTGAGACGCGGGGCAGAGGACCCAGGGAAGCTATGCCCAGACTCCTGGCCCACAGCAACCGTGGGATAATGAAGGTGTAGAGTTGGCAGCTACTGACTTTGTGGTAATAGTTAAGCAGTGTAGGAAGCTAATATAACACGTAAGCAAACAGTGTGCTGAGGCAAGAAAAATGAATTCTGCCGAGACGGAAGGGCTCACGGGGGAGGGTGTGTCTGTGCTCACACAGGAAGGGTGGGGGGAGGATGTAAACTGGGAGCGATGGAAAGATGAGCTGTTACCTCATCCTCGAGCCCTTCAGCCCAAACCCCAAAGCCGAGAGGACTCCAAGGACAAGGATGTTAGCCTGGAGGAGAGCCCCCCGCCCGGGTTCACTGGAGGAGTGCTGCCCCGCCCCGGCCCCAGACCCAAGACACTCACCAGACAGCTCGATGGAAGCAGGCAGGCCCCAGCTCCCTCCCACCCTGGCCCAGTGTGCCCCGTGTTCATCACTTTAGGCAGAGGAGAAGCAAAGCAGTCTTATTTGGTATCTTTTTCACAAACAGCTGTCCTCTGTTCTTGTGAGCCATATGTGTTCATTATAAACCACTTAAAAAATACAGGTAATTTTTCAAAAGCCAAGATTAAAATTTCACTGATGATGTCATGACCCAGATTTGAGCCTTGTTAACGTTTTGGCTGCTTCCTTCTAGTTACAGGTCTCATGAACACAACAGTGTTGTGTGGGAGGGACAACCCTCATCCTAGGCGGGCCCCTAGGCTTAGCCTGGGAACATTCCAGGACGAGCAGTAGCAGCTCACCATGCACCTGTGTGCTGGTGCCCTCATTCACACACACACACACACACACACACACACACACACATGTTCCCCAGGCCACTAGGCACACACTCAATGTCCCCCATCCCCATGGCCCTGGGCGGGGATGGTATCAAGTGTGGATTAAATGGAAGGTTGAATTCAGGCCTCCTGGGATGAGTCTCGGGGAATGTAAGAGTGTGGTCAGAAGAGGACCAGTGAGTGTGTGTGCCCATGGCTGTGAGTACCTGTATAGTGTTATGTAGGAGATTTCCCCTAGCTGCTCGGGACTCGTCTTGGAAGTCCACAAACTCTGCATCAGTCAGGTGCTCTCATATATTAACTATCCGTGGTGTGACCAGAACCCCTTAGTTGTGCTGGCCAGGTGCAGTGCACAGCCTGGATAACTGGACACAGCAGCCCTGTCAGGAGCCCACACTTGGCCCAGCTGTGGAAAAGGAACCAGCTCTATCTCATATGTACCTCAGTTCCATGTCTGAGGGCAGGAACCAAAAGCATTGAGAACCCACTCAAAGCAGGAGAGGGGAATGGAGGTAATGGGATCAGAACAGTCACTGGCTGACTGGCTGGCCACCCATTCCGTCCTGGTAAGAAGGGATAAGGAGATTGCAAAATGGGTAAGAAAATCCTCTCACCTATCAGCTCAAGGCCATAATCCTGGGCCTCTGCTTCCCTAAGCTTTGTTCTATTTTCACTCCTCTTTCCTAGGAGCAGTCCCCATTGGCTGCAAGGGTTTAGCGGGGACTTAACGCTGGTTCTCCGGCATCTCCTGGATTTGGCCGTGGGCTTGCGCAGCCCCCCATTACCTTCGTCCCTCTGCTCACCACCTCCTGACATTTCCCTGCGCTGTCTGATTCATCAGACCCTCTTTGCTCAGCTTGGGAGGACTCTGGCCTGTGAGCGAGGAGGGCCCAGGGTTAGAAAGCCAAGCCGCCCTGGGGCAGGGGCCGCGGGGAGCAGGATCCATCCACCTCGGGCGCCGGCCCCGCGCAGGCCTGGGAGATGGGCAATGTGATGGACGGGAAGTCGGTGGAGGAGCTGAGCAGCACCGAGTGCCACCAGTGGTACAAGAAGTTCATGACCGAGTGCCCCTCTGGCCAGCTCACCCTCTACGAGTTCCGTCAGTTCTTCGGCCTCAAGAACCTGAGCCCGTCCGCCAGCCAGTATGTGGAGCAGATGTTTGAGACTTTTGACTTCAACAAAGTGAGCGGAGGCCTGGGTGGGGGGCGCTGGAGGCCTGGGCAGTGCAGGGCTGGGGGGCGCCAGGTGCCGGAACGTGGCGTCTGCCACAGGAGGGGGTGTGCTTCTCTGTGTATCCGGGGCTACGTTAGGGAGTCAACTGATCTCATGTTCATTGAGCACCTACTGTGAGTCAGGCACTGGGGTTCAGAAACAAACCAGGCCCCATCTGTGCCCTCACCTTCCAGGGGAAGACAGAGGGGTCCTTAGGTTAGTGTACATAGCCCACAGACCCAATCTAATGGCTTCCTCTGCCTCATCCACACACACGTCTCGGTTTACTCCAAGAACAAGTGTGAACACTTAGAAGACAGTCGTTGAGCACCTACTAAGTGCTGGGTGCTATGCCTGGAGCTTTTGCCCAGGCCCTTAGAGGCTCACAGGGTACAGGAGGAGAGGGAGTGGAGAGGAGAGAGCAAGGTGATAAGCCTCTGGCCCCGGCTGGCCTGGCTCAGGCAGGCCCATGTTACGTGGGTCGTCCCTGATGCTCTGTGGTCACCCGTGATGCTCTGGGGACAGGCCAGGCTGCCTGGTTGCTGGGACCTCCGGGCCACTCCCGACTCCAAAGTGCCCAATGACCTCAGCTCACCTCCTCTCAAGTGGGTCTGAATGAAGGTCTGCACGGTGGTCAAATGGTACTCTCCCTGAGTCATCACTGGGACACGGGGTGAGGACTTCCTGATCAGCTAGAGGGGTACCGGGGCAGGGGCTGGGCACAGTGAGTTAGGGCCCTTAGTTTTCATCAGCTGGGTGGCCGTTCACCCAGCATTTCCCCCCCCACCATCCTCAGCTCAGTACCCGCATCTGCCATGGATGTTGAGAGCATGAGTCAAGATGTTTGTTGGTTTCAAGAGCAAATCTTCCATTTATTTGGAAGGCAGCTATGCTAACCACTATACCACCAACGCAAATCTTCCATTTATTTGGAGCAATTCAGTCAAGATGCAGTGGCAGAAGGACCCAAATCTACAAACCTGTCTCCCCACCCCACTGGGCCCCACTCAGGATGTGATGATGCTCTACCATGCATCCACTTCAAGCTGGCGACAGGCTGCCCAGAGCTTTCTCGGCCCCCTTCACTGCCCAGAGGGTCCAAACACCACTGTGGGCAGGGCTTCTAAGGACAGCTAGGGCTCAGAGGCTATTTAAAACTCACTAATATTTAGGGCCAAGGGGCCAAAGCAGATTATGGGCTTTGAGTCCCAACCTCAAGGGCAGCATTCTGGTGCCCAGTGGCTTTCCTTGGTGGGGGGCGTTGCTGGGGAGCAGAGTACTGGCGCCCACGGCTTGGAGACCAGAAGGGTTGGCATCAGCATGCTGGGCCCTCCAAGTGCTCCACAAGAAGGAGTAATTCCTGAACAGCAGGGAGGAAAGTAATGGTTGAGCCTCAATGCCTTATACCCAAACACGCAGCTTCTCACCTGCTAAGGAAACCCTTGGGATCAAGACACATCTCCAGAAGGACCCCCTAAAATCACATGTATGACAGCAGGGAGGGACAACCCAAAAACCCTGTATTTGCAAGCATCACCTCCACTGCCCCAAAGTTCCTTGATTACACCATGCACACCTTCACCTTATGGCCTTTGTGATGCTTGGGACCCTCTTCCTCCAGAATTCTGCTTGGCTCACACCTTCCCCTGCTACAAGTCTCTGCCCCAAATTCTCCTTCCCGCTGACACCTGCCCTGATTTCCTGGTTGAAACCTTGTTTAACTGGGGCTAGCCCCTGCCCCTGCATTTCCTGTCCTACCTTCCCCCAACCAGAGCACGTCTCATCTTCCAAGACGTGCTGAATTACACTTAGCCACTATGTTTGTTGTCTGTCTCCCCCGCTGGAATGTGAGCTCCATGAGGACAGAGATTTTTGTCTGTCTGGTTCAGTGCTGTATCCCCAGGACCTAGAACGATGCCTGGACCACGGTAGGTGCTTAACAAGTATTTGTTATATGAGAAATCATGAGTTCTATGGGCGAATTCTGTGTTTTATAATGCACATTAATTTAAATACATAATTATTAAAATGAAGAGTGTCTTTGTAACTCTAAAAGGCCTCACATACACCAACGGTGTCAATCCCTTTTGGGCAATATTGCCTTCTACCCATTGTCCCGAGCAGAGAGCAGCGCGGCAGATCGGCAGAGAGATGGGACACCTGAGCGGGAAGTTAAGCAGGGCTGTGCAAACGATGGCCCATGGGCCCATTTTTATGAATGAAGCTTTATTAGAACACACCACGCGCACTTGTTTGCACATCACCCAAACGGAAATATTTGCTATCTGGCCCTTTTCAGAAGACGTTGGCCAGCCCGCCCCTGAGTTAGCGGACAGTTGCATCCTGGTGGACTGTGCCGGGAGGGCAAGGTTGGGGGGTGCAGCAGCGTGATTGGGGAGTGTGCCCCAGGGGATAAGCACGTACTTTGCTTACTTCAAGGTTTTGTCTGGGCTTGGCCGTGCCCGGCACTCACACAAGTGCACACAAATCGATGTAAATCTTCAGCCCTGCCTCTGAGCGCCGGGTAGGATTTGGGCCACCTAGTTTCTAGCCAAGGCTTGCTCATTCATTGGTTACGGCGTCTAACTCCTCTCAGCTTCAGCTTTCATCTGAAAATGAGGACGAAAAATCCCCCCTCCCGGGGGGTCGTGAGATTAAATGAGGAAAGCAAATAACACACTCAGCAGGAGGCACTAGAAAGAAGTGAGTATTGCTGTGTATCCTTACTGAATTTCACCCAAACCACAGTCTTGAAAAGCGGGCACTATCATTCCCAGTGTCCAGCTGAGGGAGCGAGGCTCAGAGAGGCTGACTTGTTCAAGGCCACATTCTCCTAAGATGTCAATTAGCTCTTTCTGGCACAAAAGCCCATACTTTTCCATTGCCCCCTTTTAGCCAGTTAAAAAAAAAAATCATGAAAGTAATTTTGTACAGCTCACTGTAAACATTTCCCACAACAGAGAGAAAAAATGAGAAACAAAAGTGTCCTCGCTCTGTGTCCTCTTGCCCAGGAGAAGCCTCCTTGCCGTTTTTCTTGCTTCTCTGAGCATTGTGGCACGGGGGGCTTTGCTCTGTTCTGAGGACAACCCCGGGCAGGGGTCGGGCAAGGATCGAATGAGCTAAGGTGTATGTGAAAGCCTATGAGCACAGGGAAGCACCACACAAATGTTCAGTATGATACGACACCCAGTGTGGGGTTCCAGCTCATCGAGGCCTCACCTGAGGCCTAGGGCGGGCACAGAGCCAGATCTCAGAGGCTATCCTGCCCAGCCTCTGCCACATCTTTAATGACAGTGCTCCAGCCTCTGCTTGTATACTTTCAGTGACAGGCAGCTCATTACTGCACGAGGCTGGCCCATCCACCAGCGGCAAATCTGCCCGTTAGAGGTCTTCCTTCTGACCCCAAATGTGCCTCTGGGTAACTTCCCAGTTCCGGAGCCGGGGTTGTGAGTAAGTGGAGGAACAGGGGCTGGACTCCAAGTTCACACGCTCTTAGTGCAGGGCTCCTTTAGAGTGCTCAGCTTTTCTGCAAAACACAGGCTTCCCTCCTCCAGCCTCACTCAGCTTGGGGGCGAGATGGGCAGAGGCAGGCCTATGTTCCCCACTTCCCTGACCCCACTGGTGGGGCTGGCAGGGGCGGACAGCGGGTCAGCCTGTGAAATTTGGGGGACCCTGGAGAAATACCCCCTAAGCATGTCTTGTGCCACCCTCTCGTATGGCCGATCCCTCCCAGACTCAAGAGGCCATCACCTTTCCCAGGAAGCCTCCCTGAGCCTCTCCTCTGGCCTCTGTCCTGGCAGAGTTGTGCGATCTTGTTCTGTGATTCCATAATGTCCTGTCCAGACATGCTGTCACTGCATTACATCGTGATGGCATCCTGATCTCTCTAAGATTTTTATTTTATTTATTTGACAGAGAGAGACAGAGCCCAAGTAGGCAGAGCTGCAGGCAGAGGGAGAGGGAAAAGCAGGCTCCCCGCTGAGCAGGGAGCCCGATGCGGGGCTCGATCCCAGGACCCCGGGATCATGATCTGAGCTGAAGGCAGACGCCCAACGACTGAGCCACCCAGGCGCCCTAGTGATCTCTTTATAGAAACGATCATAGTAAGTGTAGTAACAATAAGAGTTAACATTTCCTCAGTGTTTACTAGATGTCAGGCAGTGTTGAGTACTTTAGATACATAAACTCGCTTAATCCCACCACAATCCCACAGAGGTAGGTACTACTATGACTGTTATAGATGAGGAAATCGAGGGCCAGAGACATTGAGTCCTTTGTCCCAGATCCCACAGCTTTGAGAGGGTGAAGGCAGGATTCAACCCTGCACCCCAGCAGGGTGCATCAGGACGGGGCTCATATCTTACTGAGTTCTGAAGCCTCTGTCTATCCCCGGCCGAACAAGGTGCTCAGTAAAGTTCGAAGGATAACGGGAAGAATAAGACAGGTGTTCCTTCCTCCCTTTCTACCCCCTGCCCTCTCCCCAGCTCGAAAACCACGCCTTTCCCCAGGGGTTCCGTTCCTCTTCCTCCACCTACACACACCTTCTTGCAACTGGAAGGGCTCCAGCTGGAGACTCACATGGGAGAAGCCAGTGACCGTTAGTACCAAAATGCCAGTGAAGAGAGAGCACACCCTAGGGGCGGGGGGGGGGGGTTTACCAGAGATGCTGGCAGCCTCTGGGGCAGGCCAGGCGGGCTGCCTGGAGGCGGGGACAGAAGCGGAGGGACCCCGGCAGGAAGAGCGCGGGGCGCGGCTCAGCCTCTCCTGGGGCCTCTGGGGAGCGGGCTCAAGGCGGCTGCGCCTCTCGCCCAGGACGGCTACATCGATTTCATGGAGTACGTGGCTGCGCTCAGCCTGGTCCTCAAAGGGAAGGTGGAACAGAAACTGCGCTGGTATTTCAAGCTCTACGACGTCGATGGCAATGGATGTATCGACCGCGACGAGCTGCTCACCATCATCCGGGTAACTCCAGGTGCCGAGGGCCGGGCCGGGGCGGGGGCAGCGGCCCAGGCGGACCCGGAGCTGACAGCCCGAGGGCGGCCGGGCGGGGTGGCTCTTCAGCCGGCAGAATTGCAGTGTCAGAAGGGGACACGATTGGGACTGAGGGTCCGGCGCGGGGTGGGGGTGGGGGGCAGCTACGTGACCCAGGCCACGGGCCGTCCACTCTCTGGGCCTCTGTTTTTCCATCTGTACCGAGACAAGCTCTTAAACCTCAGCGCGGCCTCTAGTGCCCAAGTCTGTTGTTTGGGCACCACTGAGGCCGAGCTAGGATGGGTCCTTCCCTTCTTCTCCCCAGGCCATCCGGGCCATTAACCCCTGCAGCGACTCGACCATGAGTGCCGAAGAGTTCACCAATACAGTGTTCTCCAAGATTGATGTCAATGGGGACGGTGAGGAGGGCGGGATGGGGGCCGCCAGGGGAGAGGGGAGGGGCAGGTAAAGAGGGGCCTCTGCTGGCCACAT